TCCTAAGGACTAGTAACTATAGTTCACTGGAGTCATTTATATACAAGGGACTCTGGGAGCTCCACAGACTCAACCACCCTCCTCATCCCAAAAATGAACCATGAGAGCAGTTTTCATGTGGAAGCATAGATAGTTCTGTTTCTCCTTAAATGGTTCTCAGGGCTGGACAGCACTTGGGGACTAATGGCATCCTCCTGCGCCAAGCTGATTGCCTGACACACAGCTGTGCTCACCTGTGTGCCCTCTCCTGGTGATGCCTGACTCACTAAGCAAGCCCCTTGAAAATCAGGCCAGCAAGCAGGCAATTCCATAGCCTGTGCATAACAGGCAAGGCATAGGTCAGCAGTGGGGTAGAGGCACGCATACATCTTCTCCGTCCTCCAGAACTAGCTTGCTGTTTAGGACTGACCAGTAAGTAGGTCTAGCATCCCAGCAAGAAACAATTCCCCGACACACACACACACACCATTTGACAGAATCCTTGTCATGAATGCATGAGATCCTGGATTCAATCCCCAGCATCACAGGAAAAAAATCCAAACATACAACTGGAGGTAGGAATCTCCCGCTTCCCACCCAGCTAGTTTCAAGAAGGAGCTTACAGGTATCTGCTCACAGGAGAAAGCCATTGCCTACCAATGGCTGTGCCCAGTCAGCCTGCAGCGACCTCAGATACTAGAACCTTCCAGACATCTTCCTGGCCAGCACCAAGGCCAGCCTTGTGATCTGGACCCTCCCTGCTGTGTTCTCTTCCTGCCAGCAGCAGGCCAGGTGTCTTGGACTTTGGTAGCCAAGAACAGGCTTCAAAAGGCTAAGTGGAAGGTGACCATCTTCAAAGCGTCCTCAGACTTCCCAGAAATCTCTGGCACCCAGCCCTGACCTCAGGTCAGTTGCCGGCAAGTGAACTTGTGACAGCTTCATGAGGGCAGGGACATGACTGTGTCTGTCTGGTTCCCAGCCCTCATCCTGGCAACCTCAAGCATGAGGCTGGCATACAGCTGGTGCTCAACAGCAATTGGCTGGGTTGATGTGTAATGGCCTCTACCAGGGAAGGACACAAAGCACAGTAGGGGTGGCCCAGGCTCTGGAGCTAGTCAGACCTGGACCTTAACCTTCCAGCCACCTTATCCTTAGACTATGCTGTCCCTCTCACCCAACCCCTTCACCACAGCACCTCAGAGAGCTCTCAGGAATGTCAGCTGCAAATAACATACAGAGTCTTCAGTCAACTAAGGCAGAAACTTCTGCTTTGTTTTCAGTTCACAAACACTTATTTAGCACTCAACTGTACACAGATGCTGTTCAAGCACAGTGGGCGACCCCACATCATAATGGCTTCAGTTAATTTTTGTGACAATCCTCTGAAGTTGGGTCTATTTAGCACCCTCCTTTGTAGCTTTGAAACACCAGAGAACTAAGGCAACTTGCCTGAAGCCTGAGACCTAAAAGTGCTGGGCCAGGATTCGTATTAATTACACAGTCTAAACTGCTAAAGTGCTGCACCTGTCTGCCTCTAGGGCAGACAATCACTGCAAACTGGTTTCTGTCCCAATCCTTGAAGGATTCCAAGGACATTGGACCACACTGCCAGACTGTGTCTTCAGTTACAGAGGGAGCAGATGCGGGTATTCCCAGGGATCACAGTTTGGGGGTTTTGTTGGTTGGTTGGTTTTGGGGGGTATCTTGTTTTCAACTGTGGTGTACTCTTCTGAAATCCAATTTCAAAGAAGCATGTTCACTGAACACTTCCCTCCCATCCCATCCTCCCTCTCTATGTCTCCCCAGGAAAGGAAACACACAGCTATGCAAAAATGGGCTAAGAAATGAAAGAGGAAAGGTGAAGGCCTGTGCGACTTACAGAGCAAAGCCAGAGGCAGCAACCGAAAGCAAGAGCTGTCCATCAGGGAGCACAGATGTCCAGGCACATAGAGGCAGGTGGGCAGCTACACAGCTTCAGCTGCCCATCGTCCAAGGTAACAGAAAATTAAGCCATTTCTTTTCTAAGGGATGAAAGCTTATCATAAAGAACTCTCCGTTTACTCTCCTGCCAACCATGATGGAAATCTCATTACCAAAATAAATCACTGGACCTTGCCTCTTCCAGTGTTTCAGGACTAGTAACAACCCAGAGAACTCCGTAAATGTTCAGATATGGAAGAATGAAATCCTCAAGGAACACAGGGCGGGTGTTTCACTTGGATAGGACTTTGACTGACTTCACAGTGCATTCATTTTCAAAGGCCTTAGAGAAAAAGGATGCTCTCGGGGACTGCTGACTCCTGGTCCCCCTATGTTCGGATTCCTGTGTGTGATAGCAAAAGCTTTATCACAAAGGGTGACCCTGGCCTTACACTGGCTCACATGACTCTGTCCCCAACTGGCTGAGGTAGCACTGAGGAGAGTCAACTTTCTCTGATCTCAAAAGTCCCTGACAAGGTTAAAGCAGATCCCCTAAAGGGAGGCCGTCTCCAACTCCACTAGCCCAGGAATTACCACATTTCCCTCCAGGATAGCATGAGGCATTCTATCATATGCCACAAAGACAGGGAGTCGAGAGGAGTGCTTCCTCCCTGGAGAGATGGAGATCTTGCAAGGCCAGTGTAGAAAAGCCATCTCTTCCTGATCAGGGAACAAAACCCTACAGGTTGTGTACTCTCTTGCCCTGTGAAAACCTACAACCATACTAGACTCTTCCTCTCTAGTGAATTGTGATTCCTGAGGCTGCACGCTCAAAAAACCGGTTGCCTCATTTTAAATCTGGCTGGCCACCAACACAGACAGCAATCGGATAGTGTTGACTTAAGGAAAAAGACACCCATACTCAAAAACAGATACAATTGGGAAGTACTGGGGACTGAGTTACCCTGCTCCTAGAGACATGTCCCATAGCCAACACCAAACTTACCAATATCCAATCACCCTGCTGAATTTCACACCCCCAAACCACAATATCCAATATGGCAAGTCCCCAAGGACCTGTGGTTTTCATTTATTTGACCATCTTTCCCAGGAACCCAAAACTACACTAACACCAAGCACGAATGTGATCAGGTTAATTGTTGATAGAAACGCCAATCTGAAGCTTTCCTGGATTCAGTTCTCAGCAAGAGATCTTAAACATCATTTTCACATAAAAGGTTTACAACTGAGTTATAGGCAAAGTGGGTAACTATTCACAAAGAAAAATCTCAATGGAGAGAAAAAGCAGTCTCACAAGACAGCTTTAATTCCCAGTTTCCTCCTGCCTTCCTTAGCCTCCTAAGTGTTGGGATTGTAGGTGTACACTACCAAATCTGTCTTACACCATTAATTTAGATTAAAACTATTTCTGAGCAAACAAGTGGAAGCTTCAGGATGCAACATACCAAAGCTACGCTTCACCACACATAACAAAATCATCTTCAGGGGAAAGCTGAGGAAGGAGAAGCCAGGGAAAAAAGATTGCAGGACACCTGAGGCCTGCAAACTGTCTACCCACAGGAGCTGAGCAGTTTCCACCTGACTTCACTACCCGAGATAAAAAGAGGATTCTCTGGCTACAGCAGAACTCACAAGAGCATAAAACAAATGCCACAAGTTTGGGTTCTCACTCCCGGGTGCATGACAGGCTGAGAGAGGCTCAGTGCCACAGAAAGCAAAAGTGTCTTTGTTTCCATTACATCATCCGTGGTGAAGGGGGAGGGCAGGCGGGGCACAGCTGGTGGCAGCTGTGCTACCATCTGCTCTCCCCTCAGAAGCCTTTGCTGGTCTGAGCAGAGCCTCCTTGGGCTCCTGACAGAGACACGCGGGGTTAAAGGTACAACACCCTATTACAGAAATAGTGGGAATTACTGAGAAATAAATCACTCTTATGTTGAGTTAAGAGCCTCGGGTAGTAGATGAGCCAGTTCCTAGAATTTATGCTGGCTGCATCTCTTTAGACTTGGTGACAACACAAACTCTGTCAACTCAATTAGACAAGCTCTATGTACAAGCAACCACCTGCCATCTGCTTCCCTAAAGGTAGATAGCCAAAAAACCACAGGTCTGCAGCTGGGAGCATTCTGGAAAGGAAGAAAGAATGCTCCAACACTATAGAGGTAAGCTTCATACTACCTAGGGGGCGGACATACGCTGTTGGCATCCAGAGTCATTTGGAAAGCTGGGCTTGCCTTCCTCACCTCAGAACCTATTCAGAGGACAGTCATCAAGGAAGGGGAAGCTGGTAGCTTGGGACATGCATTTGGGGATTTGGGGAAAGATAGATGGGACAGGACAGGACACACAATAACATCTCAACTAGCCATTCAACTACAAGTTGGAAGCAAGAATGGAAATGGGCCAATTAAGCCTGTTTTATCTGACCAGTACAGAGTTGTTCCTGTAGTGGGGGATTCCAATATTTTTAGAGGGACATAATGTTGAGACAGGGTCTCATGCAGTCCAGACTGGCCAAAATTCTCTATGTAGTGGAGGAAGACCTTGAACTTCTGGTCAACCTACCTCCACTTCCTGAGTGCTGGGATTATAGTGAGAATACTGCCATCTCTAGTTTTCCAAGTGTTGTGGATTAAACCTAGAGGTTTGTGCTGCTAAGAACAGCCTAAGCCACATCCCCAGTCAATAAAAAGAATAAATTTCAAACACAAATCTGCATCACAGGCTCTTCCTGCAAGGGTAGGAAGGACTCATGAGACTTGGTCCAATTCCTAACGCCAGCTATGGGAGCTGAATGACAATGCTCCCTTGAGATAAAGGGAATATGCTGAAGAACTTGTTCCCTCCTGCATCTAGGCCACTGTGGCACCTGAACCTTGAGATCATCTGCCAGAAGGCCTGTGAATCATGAAGAGAAAAAAACCCCAAGGGATGGTATCCCAGGATCCTCCTCTATAGTAGAGCCCTGGTCCCTGGGATAGGCAAATGTCACTCTACAAAGAGCATCTGAGCTGGCTTCAGAAAACATCCCCTCCCACTGCGGCAGGTTGGAGGCCCTGAAAGGAATGTTCCATGCCACTTACCATACATTTTGCCTTCGTCTGATAAGATGATTTTCCTCCTCCCACATGGCGGATAGATAGCCAGGGCCTCCTGGAAACTCTGCTCAATATCAGGACTCCAGACCCCCTCCGCGTCGTTGTCAATCGGCTTATCTGCCGAGTCGCTCATCCTTTCCATGTTTTCGGCAGGGCTCTCGCTGCCGCTCCAGCTGCTGGGCTCAATTTTGGCGGTTGGATTTTCCAAGCCGAAGCCTGGAGCCTTTTCAAGAAAACAAACCTAAAGAGAAATCATAAAATCGTGTGAGGCTGGGAGTGCCATCAACATAATGCTCCTACAAGCTGCACAGTAGGTTCTCAGGTGATCGATTGTATCATGTGGGCAATAATTCCTGGGGGAGAATATGGAATTCCAAGATCCCAGATGATTTCTGTTCGCTGTATGTCATGTTAAGTACCCTACAAAAACATTAACGGCTGACTGAAGCTGGGTAATCTTCCTGGATGAGAGAAAATTCTCAGCCATGATGGCACTCACTCAGAGCTACCCATCTGCAAGACTCATGTGAAAACCTGTTACTAAGTGCTCACACCTTACAAACGGACCCGTGCTCAAAGACAGCCAAGTCCCCACAGCATAACAAGTTTATAAGAATCCACTCTGAAAATTGACAACTTAAGTGAAATGCCAAGCCATCTCAATAAAGGCCATCGAGATGCAAGAGACAGAAGAAATGAGGGCACTTAGTACTGCAGACCTTGTCCTACTGAGGTGCAACGACAGCTGACCTAGACCCAGGCACCAATCTTTGAGGATGGTACCCTGTGGAGTCAGGTCACTGGGTCCTAAATGCTAACCATGCATGAAACAGACCAGTCCTGTCCCCTCCTACACCTTCCATTCTTGTGAGAATGTCCCATCCCATGACCCTGTAACATACTCTGAATTCCTGATTACATGGAACCTGTGGAGCAATCTTTCCTTAAGTTTTAGGGCAATGAAGATAAAAGAGCCACAAGAAATCTTTCTCCAAGATGTAGATGCATTCCCCTTCAATTATACATGACCCCCCTATAGTCACAAGGGGATAAGCTTTCTAAACAAATGTCACACAGGCTTGACACCAACCTGAAAATGATCAAATCCAGTACTCCCTGCTGGCTGCACACTAACATATCAATATTGCTTTGTGAAAACCACATCAGATCATTAATTCAAAGGACTCCCCAAAAGAAGGAAGGAGAACTGCTCCTGGTGAATGAGAACTGAACCACAGTGTGCTGAGCAGGGAGGGTCTCATGTGATCATTGCTGCTCGCTTACATCCCTGCAGTATTTCAACACAAGAAAACAAAGAGAAGCATGTCCTCGTTCCAGGGCACTGTCAGCTGAGCAGAAACGCGAGTTTCTTCCCTTGCCTCTACCAACTGCATCCTCTTACCTATTCTCCCAATCTAGTTTCAACAAACCCCAGAGACATAAACTCGGGAATACTGGGAAATCCGTGTTCTAACTGATGGGTGGCTTTGGGCTCCTCACCTTGACTTTCTTCAATTTGGCAGCATTTGCATTAAAAAAAAATTAGCATGTTTAATTTCAACTGTTACCACCAAGCCATCATTCAGAGAACACATCAGCAAGATACTGACAGCCCCTTACCAACACACATATGCTTACACAGGACTTCAAAATATGCCAGTGTCAAGGTATAAATTATGAAACAAGAAAGGGTTTTGTGACTGGCCTCTAAATGAACTATGAGTGCTTGCCTCGTGGGCCTTTTGAATTTTCAAGTGATTACATTTTGGGTTGAGATCTGAGAGTTCTATACAATTTGAGCTAAGTTGTAACCACCATAGTGATTGCTTACTGGAGAAATTACAAGAACAGGAGGGAACGCTTTAATAGTGGCTAGCCTCTCCCCCAACAAACAAAACAATGCACACAACATGTAAAGCACAGGCCAAGCCAGGACAGATCACAGTGGAATGAATTCACCCAAGGAAGCTGTATTTAAAGATATACATAAGACATGTGGGTGCTCAACCAGTATAGCCAAGAGATGAAACTCAGCACAGTGAGGGCTGAGGGGCCTGGGCCCTCACAGGCCTGGGAAGAAGGTTCTTATGTAACCAAAAATAAAGTCTCCAGAAGAAAACATGCCAACAACCCCAACCCAAAGCCTTAAGACCATCTCCCCAGCTGGTCACACAGGCTATGCTGGAATGTCACCAGTGGGAGGACACTCACTGGTTCCTCAGCACCTCCCATCATCACACTGGTGTGCTGAAACTGTTCAACCAATTAGGTCAAAAGCCATTTTCTCCACTGACTTTAACCTATTCACCCCTGAGAGTCTGTCTATCCTTTAGGGTCAGCTTCCCTCAAGACCCATTTCCCGTGGCCTGACCAGGCCTTGGGATCCTTACAGACCTTCACCAATGAAAGTCTGCTTACCCTTCACCAATGTATTTGTAATCCCAAAGGAGAGGTCAACTCAACTCTGTGATGCTAAGAAGATTCCTGGTAAGGAAAGCCTGTTCACTAGACAAACTGTCCACCAAGAATGACCTCATTCAAAAGACTAGCAGCAATGTCTTTCTGACAACATTGAAGCTGCTTCTAAGGCTAGGCATCACACACATTAATTGATCTCTCCACCCAGGGCGCACAACACAGCTCTAAACACTTCCACATTCTGATTCAGCAAAGGGAAGAACTTTGCAATTGGGTCTACTAGAGCTCAGGGGGATGGAGTTACCGCCTCTGGACATGAAACAGAAAACACTAGATACAAAATCTAGAGCTACTCAGGCCCTTGGTTTTACAACCCAACTGTAAGATGAGCCTCTGTATGGGCAGAGTTTCCGATCACAAGGCTGGTGGGGGTTGGCTGAGAAAACTCCCCATACTAGATACCAAAATAACTATCCTGGCATTCCATTCTTAGGCTCCAAAGCCACCTCATCCTAGAAACTGTCCTTGTCACTCTAGTGACTCTGAGAGTATCAGTCACATTTTACGAGCATCCTACATATGTAGAACTGGTGACTGCTCAATCTACCTTGATTTGAATACATACAAAAAAAGCACCTGCTTATTACCAACATTAAGATCTAATCAAGTCAGGCACACACCTGTCAACTCAGTACTCTGGAGGTGGGGCTGGGAGGATCCTGAAATGAAGGCCAACCTGGGCTACAAAGTGAGACCTGGTCTCAACTGCCACCATCACAGAATATAATGGATTTCACAGACTATCTGCAGAGCTGATGTCTTTCTCTCCCACACATCTTTTGAATGTCAAAGTCCAGTTTCCCTCAATTCAGAATAAAGAACTCTCTCCTCCCTCTGCAATCACAATCTCTCTCTCTCTCTCTCTCTCTCTCTCTCTCTCTCTCTCTCTCTCTCTCTGTGTGTGTGTGTGTGTGTGTGTGTATTTGTGACACACTCAAACTGGATCCAGAATCCAAACTTGACACACTCACAAGCCACATGGCTCATACTGAATTCATGTTTTTGAAGCTCAAGATTTCACTTATGCAACGGAGATACTAGATTCTATCCTAAAGCAGAAAACCAATGGGGAAAGGCAACTGCAGCAAGACTGCCGTGAGATTAAGTGAGATAAGAGGAAGAATTCGGTCATCTGACAAGCCATGTGTCCTCACACATTCATTTTCCAGTCAGTCCTCTCCAGACAACAGCATGCCATGAGGCCAAAATACCTACAAAAAAAAAAAAAAAAAAAAAAACAAACTTGGCAGTGGAGGAATAGAAGTGCCTTCCCTTAAAGCTCACTTAATCAGGAAATCAATTCACAAAGCATTCGAATCTTAAAATACGTCTTCAGAAGACCAAAGAGAAATTTCATATTGTTGACAACTGGTTTCCTAATATCCACCTAAGATCAACCTTTCTCACAAACTACAGTTTTCATATTCTTCTGGGCAAGGTGGTTCATTGTCTCCAAGGAAAGACTGTTGAAACCAACAAAAACATGTGTAGTGCAGAGGACCTCAGTCTCATGAACACCACCATCCAGGAGGCCCCTCATCTCCTGAAATCTCCTAGTCTGAGCTACTTAAAACACAGCTGTTATGAATAACCTAAGTAGCCTGCTAATTAGCTAGACAGCCGCCCTCCATCACAGACATTCCTTTCCCAGGACCCACCAACACATCAAGAAGAGTCACAAGAGTGCACTTGACACACACAGCCTATTCCAAGAGCCCTGGGACAGAAGGGAGGGGAGAGCAAATGCAGGCACTTCTGACACCAGCTCCACTCTTCACGGGGTGACATGTGACAAGAGAAGGTGCTGTTTCCTTCACAAGTTCCCATGAGGCCCTCACCATGTAAACATCTTACCCCTTCATTAAAAGCAGCCTTAAGGTTAATAAGTCACTGAGCACAAGGGTCAAGAAAATCCATAAACCATGTTTTAGTCAATGTCTTAACTGTCTATGAAAACAGGAAAGGAGCCAGTCTAAGAGTTGGACTTAGATGGATGTCTGCCTAAGAACCCAGGATGGCATCCCATGAGCCTCAGTGTCTGTCCACTGTTAACCATGAAGGAGGCCAATTCATCCTTCTACCATCATCTTGTATTCCCAGACAGTACCTATAACAGAACTGTGTTAATATGCCCGTTAACTGCACCCCAGGGTACTTGAAGGAAGGAATCTAACATCTTCTTCACCCTGGTGATGACACAATGCTGATACAGAAGCAGCTAATAGAGGACTGGACATCACCCAGATGACCTGAGCATGCTTTGATAGCATGATAGCTCATCCCCCAAACTCATACTAACTAAATTTTCACTGAATAGAAAGTACTTAAAGAAACCACTCCCAGCACTTGGGAGGCAGAGGCAGGCGGATTTCTGAGTTTGAGGCCAGCCTGGTCTACAGAGTGAGTGCCAGGACAGCCAGGACTACACAGAGAAACCCTGTCACGAAAAACTGAAAAAAGAAAAAAGAAAAAAAAAAAAGAAAAAGAGAAAAAAGAAAAGAAACCACTGAGATGGAGTTTGGTGGTGGAATGCTTGAATAGCAAACATGTTTGAGGTCCTGGGGTCATCCACAATACCACAAGAAAATGGGGGGAGGGAGAGGTGGGTAGGATGGTCCCCATATTAGACACATGTCAAAGAAAGCACATAGCAAGAGTGTGCACAATCCCACTTCCTATCTAGCAGCCATTATTACTGACAACTAGTAGCTATATACAAGAGACAAATAGGGTCTTGATCCTACGAGGAAAGCCACTTTCATC